CAGTAAGAGGGTGCACTGTCTGTAGATAGTAAAACCGGTTGAAATTAGCACCATGTGCCGAAGTGCTAAACGAGGTTGGTGATCCGTCTCCCAGCAGAGTGCATTGCTTCCACCATCCTCTCCTTAGTAAGCCCCCCTGGCACCTTCAGAAGAGGGAGCAAAAATATCTTTTCATTTCCTTTCTCTCTCCTCTTCCCTTTTCTTCTCCCTCTCTTTGTCTCTCACTGTCTCACAGTCTCAAAGTCTTTTTTGCTCCCTGAAGGAGTTGCCTGGGGAAGTCTCACTACTTTGTGTCTCCCTTGGAGGAGAAGAGCCACTCAAAGTGTGCGTACACTAGCAGGCTGTTTGGTCACCAGGGTAGACCTCGTACTACACCGTGCTGGCATTTTCTTTATCATGACACTGACATCCAAGTGCTTTTGGTCAGAAATGTGACTTTGTTTTCATGCCTTTTTAAGTAATCCTAGCTGAGGGCACCTTGCATTCTGAGATTCAAATAAAATTACACTTCCTCATCCCTAGTCCTCCCTGGGGAACTCAGCGTCATTTGCACCATATCTGGGGATCCCGAGGAGCTTTTCCTCTTTGCCATACCAGCCTCGTCACTCCGGTATAGCTTGTACCTTAGCCCCGTGATGTAGCTGCTGTCTCTTCTCTTCCCGAAACACCATCAGCTCAAGGTTGAAGAGACCTTTACTGGGATGTATTGTAGGGTATTGAATTTCGTCATCAAATTCATGCTATCAGAACATTTTTCCAGATTTTTTTTTTCTACCAGAGCTTAACATCTTGTCATGATCCTAGGCCAGAGGGGAGAACCCCTCTTCTCCCTCACTTACTTGCTCCTTACCCCCAACCTCCCAAGTTACTGTTCATTTCTTCCTCAGAAAATTTTAGGTATTCTTATTTTATCCTGTCCTAGCCCTGCTCTCCCTAAAGTTCATAGAGAAAAATACCCATTAAAGTATGATTTTAAAACAAAGTTTTTTCCTGGGAGGGAATTTACCCAACATCCCTTAATTTAGTTTATTTTGTTAAAATTATATTTTTATTTTTTTTTCCAATTCTACTTAAGTCTGTATCACAGTGGTACTCACATTGATAGGAACAAAAGCCATGTTGGATCTAGTGGAAGTACTAATTATAAATGGGTAAAAATACCTACCCCTGTAATTCTCTAAAACCAATTCTTCAATCATGACTCCTTTGTGCAAATATTTCCCACCTTCTGCATGGAAGGGAGAGAGAGGTCGTGTTTCCTCCACAGTGAATGCAGCACCCCCATTTTTGATAGAACATTTCCAGTTCTCTTTGGTAGAAGCGCATCTTCTTTGTAATTTGACCAGTTTATTTAGATGACTTTTGATCTTCAGACCCTCATGCCTCTAACCAATGCCTTAATCCTTGAAATGCAAGTTTTCTAGTTCCTGATCCTGCTGAGTTTTAAAATTTATAATATATTTAATTATAGTATATTTTAAACATATAGAAAAGTATAAAAAATAATGAGGCACTCATGTAATAATTTAACATTAACAAATGTTAACAATTTGCCTTATTTTTGTCTGGTCTTTCTTTTTAAAGCAAATCCAGCATTGAAGATAGACGTGTTGCATTCTCCTCCTTATTTCATTCTCCTTTTTCCCTCCCAGAGGGAACCGATGTCCTGAAGTTGGTATTTCTCTTTCCTGTGTGACTTTATAATTTGACTGGGGGGTGTGTCGCCGCTGCAGTCCACGGGACTGCGTGTGGGTTTGGGCTGCTTTTCTCCGACTCTGCCCCTTTGAGCAGTATCCATCTCTCCTTGACAACCTTGCTTCTCACGCCCCGGCCCCTCCGTGGCCAAGGAAGCCAGGGAAAGCTGGAGGCGCGCTCACCTTTTCTGTTTCCTTCTTTCTCCTTCACTCACTCTCTGCCCTGTTCCCACATGCTCTGCACTGTCTGACTACTTCCTATCTCTTTTTCTTCCTTTATTTTTGCTGCCCCAGTGTTAAATCACTTTAATGTCTATTTTTGGCCTTGAAGATTAATAGAAGCTCAGTTTAGTTTTTCTCTGCCCTTATTTGGGAACAGGTAAGAGGATGTTTCTGAAAACCTGAGAGAGAAATGCAATTTAGTTACTTTCTGTATAGAAACACTCCTGGGGGAAGAAGGGAGAGAGTTGTATGTCTTGGAGGATCTGATACTTTAGAATATCAGATATGAATTACTTATAATTAGCATGTTTGTTTCTTTAAATGTAGTGTTAAAGGCATTTGCCACTAGGTTAATAGTATTCTTTTATAAGATTAGTTTGCTTAACAAAATTCTTTTTATGTAATGTCTCATTTTATGGTCTATATGTAATAGAGATTTTTACATTTCTCTTTAAATTAGTCATAGTGAAGTTTATTGTAAGAAGACCTTTCCCTTCTTTCATTTAAAGTATATTCTTTACCTACTGTGTGCAAGGCATGCTATGAATGGAGATGGATTGGGGCTATACTCTTTAGGGACTTACCAAATGATTATGATAGACAAGTTTACAATCTTAGGTTGGAAGATGGATTTTTATTTAAATACTACAAGGGAGGATATTTATTCAAGTACTCTGAGGTAAGATATTTATTCCAATACTATTAGGGAAACACCTAGGGTGGGGAGAGGAAGGTAGAGGAGGGACAGTAGTGAGGAGCATGCTTAGCCTGTGTAAGGAACTGGTTTTGGGGATTTGATGGACAAGCAAAATCCTTGATTGTATGCTTTTTTTTTCAGTGTTGGAGGGAGTGAGAGATTAGAGATGACTATATAATAGTTCAGCCATCACAAATCTTAATTCATTATCAGATAACAGTTACCTTTCAATTTTCCAATATGTGTCTCCATGTCACAAATTTCCTTAGCCCTTCCTAACCTCCCAAATCCAAATAAAACATCAAGGAGGTAAGAGTAAGAATGGGAAGGAATTGCCTAAAATCTTGATCATCTGTGGTCAGAGTATATCTTTGGCCTAAATACACTCCTGTGAGGCCCATGCTAAGACTGTTCTTGGTTTCCTTTCTCGGTATGTGTTCTGGAATTAATTTAGGCCCTGTACCATCTTCTTCCGCCTGCAAACCCTCATGTTTGTTTCTCTTCATAGAACCCAGACTTCTCTACCTGGGCCCACAGCTGTCTTCCTCTGATGGTTCAAAATGATAAATTGTAACACACGCACGCAACACACTAATAACATACCTACCGTGTGCTCACGTGAGAGGTGTCAGTGGGGTAGCAAAGGAGGAAAGAAATTACTTTATAATTAAAGGTGGAGCTTTTGCAGCATCTTTTAAATCTGATATTTTTCCAGTTTATCATGACGCCTCTTCTTGGCTCCCTTTCTTCCCTTATCATTTACTATTTAGATACACAAATGACGTTCTTCTATTACATCATGCTGGCAAATGCTAAGAATTCGCATTTAAATCTCTTTTTGTAGTCTTACAAAAGAGCTGAGAACACTAAGACCAACGTTTACAGATGGTAAGGAATACCACCTGTTTAGTTTTTTTCATTTTTTAACATTTACACTTTAACTTTTATTTTAGGAGAACAGGCTCCTCCAGAGTTGTTCCTCCTAGAAGATCATGAGGGGCCTAATGAGTATACTGGTGACATGTCTGTTGAAATAGCTTCAGATTAAGGATTTTAGCTGGAAATGAATTTTAAAAGGTTTGAAGAATGAAGCTTTGTAAGTTTTAGTAAATGTAAACGGTTCTGAGATATACAGAGGGACATCTGCCAGCCTTTAAATTTTCCCAAATGACACTAGATATTTTATGTTTAAGAAGATAGAGATTAAAGCAATAAGATCAAACCCAGAGGTTTTTCCCCAAAAGCCACTAGTGTTTTGGTAAGTTTGGTACTGTCTGTGACACAGCATGATAAATGTGAATTTGATATACGTAACCATTTTCCATGTTGAGGAGAAACAATATATAAATGCTCTAGAGTCGGTCGAGTGTGATGGAAAAAAAGAAACAACACTTCTTGGGAATCAGAGATAGGAAGTTTTATTCAAGATTTTCCATAAACTTCAGGTTAATAGTGAGTTTTTGCACCTTTTCTGTTTTATAGTTTCTTCATCCTTCAAAACTGGGGTTTATTGCTTTTCTTCTTAGTTCCACTAGTCCTACTAGTTTAACTAGCTTGTTAAACTTCGCATCCATGCTTAGCACTGTGCTGGCAGCGATTTTACACATCTCGTCTCATGTCATCATCAACATATCAAGCAATAGTAGTTCAACAGCTTCAAAACATGGGTTCAGAATCCAGCTCCAGCTCCCTGCACCAAGGCAGTGCTTCTCAAGTGCCAGTGTGCACATGGCTGTCCATCCATCCCAAATTTTCTCCCCGTCTACAGGAAGTAATAATAAATGGGTCACATTGTAAAATTTTCATAAAGCTAAAAATATTGTATTCAATTATTCCTTTCCTCCTTTTATTAAAAATACACGTTATTTAGTTTATGAAATGCTAGTGATCATAGAAAGCTTTTTCATAGGTACCTGCTTATCAAAATAAACATTGGCAAGTCTTTGTTGGTCCTCTCCTTCCCCCCTTTGCATACCTGTTTGTAGATTTAAAAGTCTCACAACACTTGGCTTAAAGAAATACTGTCCCAAACCAAATTGGCATGTGTACGTGCCACTTTTAAGAGCAAAGCCATTAAAATATGAAGGGATGAAGGTATATTTTTAGACATTTAGTAGATATTTAGCAATTATTTAGAGTTTATATTTTATCTAGAGGTAATGCAGTCTTATATGTTGCAAATTCATTCTGATTGTCATCTTCATTGGGTTTTTACCTGTGAATATTTAATATTAACTTTTGGCAAGAAATATTTTTCAAGGAAATGTTATTCCCTGGAAGGATGTCCTTTCCCACATTTCACTAGGCCCTGGTTCAGGAATCACCTTGATTTGTTATTTATTGGTCCTCTTCAGGGATGATAGTACTTTGCTTTACTTTCTCCTTAGTGATACAAATGAAGTTGACATCCCGCCCAACACTCGTGTTGGCACCAAACGCTACATGCCTCCAGAAGTATTGGATGAGAGCTTGAATAGGAATCACTTTCAGTCTTACATCATGGCTGACATGTACAGTTTTGGACTCATCCTTTGGGAGGTTGCTAGGAGATGTGTTTCAGGAGGTAAGTCACAGTGGAGCTACTACAAATCCTCTCTTTCTCATCAGAAATCAAAGTTATCCTGTTGTCCACAAAATCAGATTTTCTTTTATTTCTCCCTTTTGTTTCTGTTGATGCAGTCACAATCCTCCCAGGAAATGATATTTAACATCTTAGAATTATCTTTGACTGCTTCATTCCCTCTACCTACTCCTGATGAATCTCTTGTAGGCACACTGTCAACCTCCTCTTGCCTTTTCAAAGATCACCCCCTTCTGCTATATGTATTGTCTCCTTTCTCTCTTGAGCTCTTCCTCCAGCAGTTGCTCCATCAAGTCAACTCTCTTCCCTACCCCTTCCAGCTTCTTACCAACCTGCTGGGCCCCATCTCCAACTCCAATGCCCCATTCCCTGTGGCTTCCTCTGTGCAGATGAAGATAGAGACATAAATGTGGGTGGGACACCCATTCTTTAATCCTCTACCTCTTGGCTTTTTATAATACTTTCTCATAAAGCAGTTTGAAGATATCAGTTTTTATTCAGAGGAAATTAAAGCATGAGAATATTATTATTGTTCATGATAATTTTTCTACAAACATAAGGATTCCTTAGTAAGACTAAGTAAGAAGACATCCTTAAATATTCAGAGGTACTGTTATTGCTTGTAGTATTTTGCTTACTGCTGCATAATCCGTCTTTGAGTAGATTCCCACACCTTTTAGGTGAGGAGCTGAGTCGTGGGCTCTTCAGTGTCACGTACCCTGTTTATGGTTCTGTCATGGTTGTGCTCGTTAACCAGCCTTGATGCTGCTGCTGTTCTCATGATGGTGAGTTTAAACTCACTTTCGTGAAAACTTGAGTTGGCCAAGATTCTGAAAGTGCACTGTATACTTAAGTAGCACTGGGATTTGTTTTTGGACCTGCCATTTATTATCTGTGAACCTTTGACAAGTTACTAAACTTTTCTTTGTTTTAATTTTCTCACCTTAAGAAGGAGGTAAATTGTATCTATCTCAGCAGTTGTGAGGTTTCAATGATTGTAAAAAGAATTAAAACTGCCTGGCACATAAATAGCACTCAGTACGTGTTAGCTATTAATTAAAATTTTCATTTTGGTTGGTAGAGCCTTAGCTTATTTTTAGATTCATATTTAAATATAAAGGAGAAACAGTTAATCAATAGCATTCAGTCTTTTGCAGAAAGATCATCTTCAGTGGTGTAGTGCTTTCTAATCGCTCTGAGCCTCCTATAAGCAATTTGAAATAGAACACATTCCCTCTAAAGTGAGAGAACTCTTTTGTCCAAAAGGAAAGTTAATGTAGGAAATTTTTCCTAACCAGTTATTGAATAAATCTCTCATCATAATTATGAAGAAGTAACCAAGTAAATTAATGAATTGCCTGTGCGTTGATTTCATGCTTTATAAAGAGTAGGTGAGCCTATTTTTTAATAATCTACTTAACACTTGTGTAATTAAGGTGGGTTTACAGAAGTTGAAGGAGTAGTAGACTACAAGATTACTTTTCTAATTGTGTTTTCCTGAACATGTAAAGCAAATAGGGCCACAGGAAGCCTATATTTGAAAGCCTGTGGGCCAGAATACAGGTGAAGATTCTCAGCTTAAAAAACGAGCTAGCCTTATGTGAACAGCAGGGTGCTAATTGATTCACCAGGGCTGTCTGCCTGTGGAGATCTGAGAGGTACTGAAATGTGCCCTTATCTCTGTATGAGATTGACATGTATTTGTCAGCGATGTTGGAGTCCAGGCTCTACTCCATACCAACTGTATGGCCTTGGGCAAGTTACTTAATCCCTCAAAACCAAGTTTCCTTATTTGTATAGTGTGGATAATAATGCTATCTCATGACATGTTTGTGAGAATTTAATAAGATAAATTATATAGCACGCCTACGTCCATGCCTGATATGTAGTAGGCTGTCAACAGATGAGTTTCTTTTCTCTTTACAGAAAGGCAAAGCACAAAATTCTATTCTCCAGCACTTTCCTTTATGAGATATTGGAAGTTTGGGGGCTTGTCTTTCTAGTTCAGATACTTTTGGGTGATGTAGGCCTTTCAAACTTTGGAAGGAAAAGAGAAAATGATGAGGTTTCAGAAACAATTGAATGGCAGCTAATATGGAAAATTTTGAATTGCATGATAAGGAGAAAGGACCAAGGCCCATAGTTCAAAGACAGACTTGCCACCATCCAGGCATCAATCCAGCCAGGTAATGGTACCAACATTAGGTACTGAGGAAAATCTGAGATGAATTGGGTAGATACCGTCCTTGCCCTCAAGATGTTTCCAGAGCTGTTGTCTTGAGAATTACAAAGGGAGGAAGAACTGAAATGAAGTGACATCTCACGTGTGTTAGACCCTGTGCCTTTATTATCTCATATAAAGGTGAAACACAATGGAAGGAAATACTAACATAGATAGTACATATAATTATGCTCTGCAGGCTCAGCAAGGGGCAGAATAAATGGTAAGTTGGAATGGTCTGAGAAAACTTTTGAATCCTCTGGTCCTTTATGATTATATATGGGTTTAAGTTTATGAGAAAGAGCATAATTCAGACTCCAGATTTTGTCATCAGAGTAAACCCCCAGTGAATTTAATGATGCAGTAGACACTCTGCCTACCTGGTGGTATCATCTTGTTCAGATAAAAAGCAATAACATTTCTATAAAAGATGATTTAGGATAGGGAGTAAGGTTGCTCTGGAAAGACTGTTCAGAGCAGCATCCCCTGAAGACAGAGGCTGCCTATAATTATTGTGAGGAGTTCATCAGATAGGGTTGAAAAGAAGCCACAAGTAACCTGCTTTTTTAAGGGACAAAAGGAAAAAGGTAAAAATTAGATACTAGGAAAACTGAAATGAGATAGAATTTAGCATGATAAGTGCTATTTCCTTAAAGATGACATAGATTTGTATTTCTTAACCCTTCTCTCAACAATACTTATTTTTTTTCTAATAGTAAAGTATTCCTTCTATAAAATTTGGATAAATACAGAAAATTTAAAGAAGAAAATAAAAATCAGACAGTCCTTGCACCTAAAAATCCACGGTTAATATTTTTAGATGTGTATAATTTTATAAATTTTAAATATGCAAAAATACATTCTTATGATGAAGCAGAAAAAAATGTAAATCTGACATTTTGTTAAAGTAGGATACAATGCCAAATTTATTATGAGATTCATAATCTCATACTTCAGTAATAGAAACAGTCACATATTATACAGCATGAGTTTTGGATATGTCTGCCAAATTTGCATTGAGATTTAATAATAGATTTTTTTTTTAATTTGGTATGTAAGAGCCTTTATAAAGTTGAAATTAATTTGAGATGCTTGTTTTACTTAGCTTTTGGAAATTAGAAAAAAAGCTTGAAGACCTATAATATATTTTATTAGGCTTTCTGTTCATTTCTTTTAATTAGATTGTCATTTGGGCACATTTTTTTCAATATTTATTTCGTTGTTTTTCAGACTAAACTTGTCTTTAGTGCTGAATGAACTTTTCTTTGAGAACAGTTTGTATACTAGACTTTTATTTCCGCTTCACAGAAAATAACAACAATAATAAACCGTATTTTCAGGTATAGTGGAGGAATACCAGCTTCCCTATCATGACCTCGTGCCCAGTGATCCCTCCTATGAGGACATGAGAGAGGTTGTGTGCATCAAGAAGCTCCGGCCCTCCTTCCCCAACCGGTGGACCAGTGATGAGGTGAGGCCTCCGGTCACCATGTGGCTGTGTCCAACTTCTAAACAGGCTTTTCTCTGTTTGCCAAAATCCCAAATATTCATTACAGGAATTCTTCTTCTTCTTTGTTTTGATGGTGACGGTAATGGTGCCTCATTGCAATAATTTATATGGAGCTAAGTGTGGTGTTTTAAATTATCTGTTCCTCTTTTCTGTTTGATTTTTCTACTTCCAGAATATGTTGAGTGGGTCACCATTTAGCCTGCCTAAGTGATAACATTATTTCATTTATTTGTGATGTCCTGACATTTGCATAAAGGCTGTTATTTCTCTCTGTGTGTGTTTTTAAAGCATCATGAATTTTCTCCGTGAGAAACCCACATGCAGCTTTGTCTCATTTTGACGAGAGAAAAGAGAGGCATCTGAAGAACTCAGTTTTCTCTGCACAGAAGCGGTACAAGTTGACCTGGCTGAGATGGCTGACTGTGCTATGGATCTGTGTTAGTAGGGATGATGAGGTGCAGTCTGAACAGATCACATTCAGCTGGGCTCTGAGGATGTAGTAGTGAAACCTGAACAAGTCTAGAAAGGAGCTGCTCAGAGGGAGGGAATGAGTCGGGGGGGCCTTGCTTTCCTGACTCACCTGCTCCTGCTCCAGATCGTCTCTGTCCACCCTCTCAGCCTGTAAACTCACTCACAGCCTGGAGTGCTCTAGCAGGCTGGGACGGTCAGAGATGAGTTTGAAGCATCCCCAGAGAAAAAGAAAAAAGACTCTTATCAAACATGTAGCAAAGCCAATGCAGACAAGTGGACAGAACACTGTTTATAAACTAATTCTCCAGTGTTAAATGCATTAAAAATAACCTGTAGTTCATTGGTTTTGTGTCCAGGTACTGAAATGCTAAATAATACATATGTTTTCCAATGAGCTGCATAGGAAGCTTTATGAGATGCTGGAGTTCTATTATTTTGAAGGTCGCTACGGGCATTGGTGTTACTCGAAATTCCTTCACTGAGGATATCTAATGAAGTGAAATTGTGCTTTTCAACAGGAAGACCCACAATTGATGTACCACAGGAGAACACAGGAGAAAGTTTTAGTGAGGCTGTGCACAGGTCATTAATCTTGTTAAATGGTACAGTGTGAGGCTGTGTTGTGGCAGACAGCTGTGATTTAGGAATGACCATGTTTGTTTGAATAGTATGGAATTAGATAAAAGATTTAAGCTTATCAAGTGTTATAAACAATCTGGGAGTGTGTAGTGGAATACAGACTCCCTGGGTATTTTTGTATTTGTTTAATCTGACTTCAAAGACACCCTTCTACAATCAGCAAAACCACCTGCTTGTTCCTATCACAAGGAAGACGTGAAAATCTGTTTTAGTCATTCAAAATTTGCATGAAAAACAAATTTTCATGGTATTATATGTCTATGTGGTTTTAAGAGTATCTTTTAAAAATATATTCAAACTTCAGAAACTCAAAACTAAAAGCCAGTTTCAGGTACCAGCCTTGCACATAATCCATTTCTCTAGTGTTACCCTTTTCTCTTCCCACAGTGTCTAAGGCAGATGGGGAAACTCATGACGGAATGCTGGGCTCACAACCCTGCCTCAAGACTGACGGCCCTGCGTGTTAAGAAAACACTTGCCAAGATGTCAGAGTCCCAGGACATTAAACTCTGATTTGAGGGGAAAAATAAGCATCTCTGGAGAAAGCCAGTCGATATCCTTCTGTTTGTGGGCAGAGCAAAAAATATTCCAGAAGCATCCACAGTACAAGCCTTGAACATGGTCCTGCTTCCCAGTGGGTTCAGCCTCACCTCTCAGGGCACAGCCCGGACAAAGAGAAGCTCCCGGAAACACGGAGTCACCGTGTCTGTCTGTAGGAGGGGGAAGCCGCTTGGGTAACCTGTTCAAGATATGATGCATGTTGCTTTCTAAGAAAGCCCTGTATTTTGGGATTGCCTTTTTTTCCCCCAAAAAGATGCTTTAATTTTGCCAAAACAAAACAAATAACATAGATGTTTTAAGGTTTATAGTTTAAATAGTAGCAACAAAAATTCTTCCCAGAAACTCTGCTGGAAGGTAAATTAAAATATGTGTTTTTCCATTGGTAAAATTTGTTGCACTCTACAAACCAAAAGCCAGTCTATGAAATTGGAGAACATAGAATGGAACTCATCCTAAAAGCCCCCCACCCTTGCTGCCTCAGACCACTTGGCCAGCCCTGCCTTGGAGGCTCACACAATGTGAATGCACCTGAGTACAGATGCCACCTGTCTGTGCCCACATTTTGGGATTCCTGCAGGTGACCCTTTGCAGCTTTAGAAGATATGGAACAAATGAAGATTTTATGTGACTGCATTGGAAGTAAGTGTTGAAGCTATTCTTCAAAACCACTTTGTGTTTCTGATTCTGTTAGGCATTTCTTTCATGGTAAAATCCCTTCCTTTTCATTAAGCACAAACAAAGCTTTTTTATGTGCAGAGAATTGACCCATGCATGTTTTTGATTTCTCAAATGAAAGGATCAATATTAAATAAAATTTCCATCAGTTGTGTTGAAGACAAGGCGCTTTAAAATAGAGATAATTTGCTCTTGTGTTGTAAGAAGATCGTGTCAACAAGGTAGGGGATGAGGGTGGGTGCACATGGCCTGTTTCTTATGTATGCAGAAGAGCCCATCTCAGAAGCACAGGGAAAAAGGATGCACACTTTATCTTATACAGATAAAGACGGTTTCTTTTTGTTATTGTCTGTCTTTTTGTGTGTCAGAGTTAAGGGAAGGAGAAGAAGGATATGTCAGGTTAATTTAACTAAATTTTAATTTAAAAATAGATAAATATAACCTCCAAATGGGACAGCAGAGGCGAGCTAGTGGAGGCCACAAAATATTATGGCTGCTGTGATTTATTATTCTATGATAGATGTGGATCAAATATGTACATCTTAAGTGATAAGTTCACATCCTAGGAATGCTGACTCAGTTTATTTTATTTTCATGGTGTTCAATTCACTTTTTAATTTATTATTTTTTCTTCTCTGTGGCACTTATGCAAAACATCTCTTCACTCAGTTCTATGGGGTTTTAACTTTTGAGCAACATGAGTCAAATCATTGACAGGGCCAATATTACTTAGCAACAGGAACATAAAGTTTAAAATTGTACACATCCCTCTCAACTTTATTCATTTCCATTTTGTTGCTGTGGTTTTCTTTTGCTTCTTAAAAATTCTGTAGAATTGGGAAGTAGTTCTCCTTGGCCTTTTTAAAAAAGACGTTCCTTCCAGAATACTCCAGGGGGCAGTGTTTTATAACACATTTTCACCACTTGGTGACAGAGATGGAGGGTTTTTGAACATTTGACAGCTGCATGAAAAACGAGAGGATATTTTTCTCACGTCTGAAGTAGGCTTGCAGCTGGTGGCTTGTGTGTCCAGAGACCATCCCAGAGCAGAGAGCAGTTGTGAGCTGTGCCCACAGTTTGGGAGAATCATGAGGCGAAACACTGTTCTATACTCAGCATTCACTTCTCAGCGTTTCATAGCCACATTTTGTTTGTAACAAAGAAAGAAGATTTTCTTAATCGTTGAATATAAAAAAATTTCTGTTTTTTCAAAGATTAAAAATGGTTCCAAATATAATTGTAATCAGAATTCTGCTTTTACTGATATTAAAATAACCTGAATAGCAATGTAAAGGTTCCTTTTCCTTTTCCGAGTTGCATTCTTTGTGATAGCTTAGAAGGAAGATGTGGCTAGAGCTAAGTGTGATAATCATCTGAGCCTTGGAGAGAAACTTCAGTGCCTCGAATCAGATCATCTACAAACAAATAAGTAAACATTTATGCCAGTTAAATGGGGACATGTTTGTGTTTCTTGATTTTCCCTAAATTGAAGCGAGGCTGGGCTTACCTCTTAGATAAACATGTGTTTTCTTTTTGGTACACTCTTATATGTGAGTAACTTCAAGTCAGAATATTTTGTGGGTAAGTGATGATTTGAAAGTAAACTAAATTTCTAGGGAGGCATTGGTTCGGATGAAGAATGGGAGGAAATTAAAATACTACCCAAATTTCTTCTATATTATTTGTTTAGTTCCTTTGGAGGAATCAATAGCTTACTTTCTAATCCTCAGTCTGATTCACTATGAACATTTAAAAGTTATTCCTGAGATACTTAAAAAGACTCATTTAGCTAGTCTTTCAATGAGACAAGAATTTATTTATGAACAGATTTTTCTCTGTATCTTACCAAAATCCACCTTAGGAAAAACTAAATTGTTCTTAACCAGACTACCTACTCACTTCCAAATAATCCGTTTCAATTTTTAAATTTCTAGTAGCTCAGAAGTGAATTTTACTATTTTGTTTTGTCTTTCCATAGGATAAGTGGGAACCTGGAAATTAATAATGTAGTTGATTGCTTATTTTCAGCACTATTTCAAAGACTAAGATTTTCTTCTAATTGCTCCCCCCTCAAAGGAATCCTAAAATGTTAGTTGTTAGCTAATATAAGTTTTGTATGCTAAGATATTCAGGTTTATAGTTTGTGTGTGTATATATTATATAAATATATATGTATATATTAATATTATGTTCAGTTTGGAGTCTGACACAACTCCATATGTGGATTAGAGAGTAAAATATTATGGATGATAAAGTACTAAATGAAACATAATATTTATTTATGAAAGTGTGTAGATTGTTAATTCACAAGTGGCGGTGCTATGAACATTGTGTGTGAGGAGACAGGCCTTTGACCTCCTGGAAAGCACCGCTCAGAAGTCACGAGTGACAGTTCTTTCTACTCCCAAAACATAAAGCTTCTTAGAAAACATGCTGAGATTTTATTTACAAGGAATTCTTTGACGCATTTCAATTGTTTTGTAGTCAGGTAATAGCAAGTAGTGAATAATGACGGAGTTTCATGTTCTGGAGTCATGCATATTCATTAGAAGTTACACTGTTTTATGTTGTGAGTCTGTTCTGGTTCTTCTTTGTTTGTGGGTGGAAAGGCACTGAGAGAAGTACAGTTTTTTAAACTTGAATCGTTCTGTAGTTATCTTCTTAGAAAACGCAGTCACATAGCAATGGAAGTGAAAGCATGGCACTAGAAGGGATTTAGTTTAGCAATTATGATTCCTCTTGTAAAACAAAACAAAAAAACAATGCCATATTTTTTGGAGAGACCTATATAAGGGGTTTTGTTGTCTGTCTGTTTGAAGAGAAGACTCATTTGTGTTCTTTTGGGGAACCAGTGCCTTATTGAATTTGTATATAGTGTAATTATTCAGGACTAGGGAACAAACAATCGTATTGTATTTGTTACAAATTGTATATGGCTTTGTTTTAACATTCCCCCAAATAAAATGGTTTCATTCTCCCCTTGGAAAGAACATGTCTGTTATCTTGTAGTTATGCCTTTTTTCTGTCTTTGAAAATATCCCATTGTAACAGGTGGGAAGACAGCCATCAAGGAGAGTGATGCAGGTAAGTTTGTACATTTGGTGGCAGGAGAGCAAGAAAAATGGTCTGATGGCTTCTATTTTCTCTGTAATTAGGAGGCACAGTCATCTGTGGGAGGGAGAGGAAAGGCAGGGAAGTCAGTGGTTTGAGAGAAGTGAGAAGGTTCGAAATTGCACTGTAGAAAATTACAGCCAGATGGCTGTGGGCAACGCCGAGGGCTGGTTAAGATTGATGGTCCTGACTGTGTGGCTGGGGCTGAGAGTGTGGCCTCTGGACTGCCAGACAGACTGTGTGTGAATCCAGGCTCGCTCGTTCCCTCAGCTGTGTGACAGTAGGCATGTTCTGACCTCACCAAGACTCAGTTTCTTCCCCTTGAAGACGGGAATAATAGTAATATCTACTGCATGGAGTGGTTCTGAAGATGAAATAATCCATGCACCAAACATGAGGTAAACCATTACTAAATATTAGCTATTATTACAAATTCGCAGTGCCATTTTTCTATGTAGTTTTATGATTTTATTTTTCTATCAGCAAGCCAAATGTAGGCATGGAGACTGCAACAATTAGATCCATTCATGGTTGGGGTTTATGAGGCGTATGCAGCAATAGGTCATGCAAAATAGGAATTATCATCAAGGGGATGGTTGAGGTGGACCAGAGTGGGGAGAGGATTAAAAGTGAAGGCAGCTAAGAGGCCAAAGGAAATGAGGTCACAGGACAGGGAACCGTGATGGGGTTGAGGGGGGTATTAGCAGTCACTGGCAGAGGGGCTGCAGTCAGGATCAAGGTTTCAAAGGAGGAGTAGCAAGACTCAGGACAGCTAAGGGTGTGATCACAGGAGTGGGCGGATTCAGTTAGCGGACAAGATTATTGGTGATGAAAGAGGAACCCAAAAGCCGGGCCTTTGGATCTGTCTTTGTGGATTTGGAAGCCCCCCAGAATGGTGGCAGTCTTATGAGAGGGAGATTGTGAGGCAAAATCCTCAAGGGCTGTAGGAGAGCAGGTGGGCAGTGAGTGAGGAGCAGAGTGGAGACAGAGGCTGGGAGAGCCCGATGGCCTGAAGTATAAAGGAGCGGGCTTTTTATGCAGAGGCAGTGATCTGGAAGCAGCAGAACAGTATGAGAAAGACCCCGTCCTTCCTTCCAGCTGTGAGGTACTGGGGTGTGGAAGAATGAGGCCACTGCTGTTGTCTCTGAGACAGTGTCCCCTGGAGAGGAGAGAACCCTCTGCAAAGGGAGAGGGAAAGTGTTAGGTTATTTGTTCCTGGATGGTGAGTCCTGAAGGGCAGGGTGGACAGGATGGTTTGGAGGAGATCCACTGGAGGCGGGGTCAGGGGAGCGGAAACCCAGAATTGTTTGGGCATGAGAGTACAGGAGGACTTGCATCTTAGTCACCTATTAAGTCATGCTTAAATACAGCATGATTGGCTGTATTTAGCCAGCTGCACTTGTGCCAAAAGAATTCATCCCAGTGTTGGGTGGGATTCAGACAGACTTAGCTCACATCCCATAGTTTTCCCTCTCTCAATTCTGTGGAGGTACATAATCTGAGCCCCAATCTTCTCCCCTGTAAATTGGGATAAAAATACCCACCTCACAGGGCTCCTACAGGAACAAATGAGACGAATATGTGAAATATATGGTGGCCCTATGCCAGGCACATGGCAGGTACTCATAAATACTGCTTTTCCTTACTGACATAGTTTTACAGAATAGAAAGCCAGCAACACTTAAAACAGCCTGGGTTTGCCGGGGTACACCTCTCCCACCCTCTCTGCACCCACTTCTCTATGCTGGGGGCCTTTCATAGGACTGGAAGGCAGATGCACAGTAAATCCCAGCTGAGGAGAGCAGGCTCTTCTCTTGGCATTGGTCTTTTTATAAGTTGCAGGCTTGGTAGGTCCTTCTGGTCATGGGAGCAAAGTACAGATGACCCCACTCTCAGAAAGACTTCTGTTTCTGTTTCTGCCAGGTAACTCCTACCCTCGGTTTAGTACTACCCCAGCTGTAGGGAGCTCTGGGACTGCCGGAGGGGCTCTGCCCGGTGCCTGCGTGCTGGCCCCGGGGGGACAGAGACAGAGTGGGGCCAATCCACAGAACTCTGACCCCACTCAGATGGGGTCTCAGGGCCCTCGCTGACTTAACTTTGAAGACGTTTGCAGGCTCTCCTAGGTTCAGCCTTCCTGAAGGGAAGCCAGCTCTCAGAGCTCCAAATTAGGGGTCAGTGGGTGGTGTCCCGCTGGGTCTGTGCCGCCGTGCTTTCTGTGTAAAACACCGTTTTGCTCTTCAAAGGAACTTTCTTTCTTTTAGATGGAGTTGGATTCTCTGATTAAGCCACAGGACCCACTTCTCCCTTTTGTTTTACCTGGGTTCCAATTTCCATACTGTCCCTGCTTCCTTAGTCCTCACAAACACTGAGTTTGCGCCCCCGCGTGGAGTCAGTGAACTCCCTGTCCTCCAGCCCTCGGGAGGGACAGTTGCTCACAGGCTCGCTCTGGCTGAGAGAGGGGGCGGCAGCAGGCTGCGGGCCATCTAAGGACACTCTCAAGTGGCTCTCCCACTGAGGAGAGGGCTGCCTTTGCCTTACGCTGATTCGCAGCCGCTTTCCACTGCACCCTCCGAGCCTTTCTCCCTGCTCAGAGGGGGCGACCGGTGTCCCGCGTGAGCCGAACCTGTCTGTCGCATCTGCGACAGCTTGCGGCGTCCCGCGTGGCGGGCTCACCTTTCCCTTCCTCCCCAGAGTGCCCTTTGCAAACTTCTCTTAAACTCCGGCCTCGGAGGGTGGGGCTCCTGCTCCGGGTCCCCAGCTTCCGGGCTTCCGCCGCAGCTCTTCTGGGACACGGGTTCTCCCCCTTGACTATCACCTGGGAGCTTTAAAAACCCTCGGCGCCCAGGCTGCACCCAGACCCAGGCAATCAATCTCTGGGGTGGGATCCAGGCGCCCCGTGTTAAAGCCCCTCCGGTGATTCCGATGTGCAGACAGCCTGGAGAAGGCCATTCTAGAACTCACCCTGTCCCTGAGGGAGGTGGTGTTACCATCGCTGCAGAACCAAGCGCTTTTCGTCCTACTGAAGGAGCCCAGGGAGGCTCCGCGCAGAGGAGGGCTCTTGTTAGGAAGACACGAGGGA